CAGCCTCCGGGATCGCGCTTTGGCCGTCGTATTTTGTTTATCATCGCGATTTGGAGTCACTACCTTCTTGTAAGTCGATAGTCCGGCTCGTTTTTTGGCTCGATGCACGGTTGTAGACGATACACCCAGCTTATTTGCGGCATCTCGGAGAGAGAGGTTAGGGTTTCGCTTGAAACTACCGGCAACTCTCTTTGTCGTCTCAGCGGCTTCCGGTTTTCGATTTCCCCCCGATCCAGACTTCCTGGCTGTCGACAAACGTTCCCCAAACACTTTAATTACATTTGTAACGGTTGATTTGGCAACTTTTAGCGATTTTGCCAACTTTGCGTGCGAGTAGCTCGGATTTTCGCGATGCGCGAGCAAAATTTTGATACGCTGCTCTTCTTGCTTGGACGGCATTTTGACAACTGAAGAGTGAATTCCAAAATCAAAATAGGAGCAACATTCTACACACACACACCTTCAAAATGAGGGGTGTTCAGGTTTTTTTTAATGCAAAATTGAAAGAAATACGTCAAGTTGATATTGACCAAATTTTGACCGTATAACCCTTTATTCTCTAACCTTTCCCTTTTCTCCTTGTTGTCCTCGGTGTCCTCGGTGGGGCCCTTGGACGATAGCGGCGGCGGTTGCTGTTTGTTCACTTCGGCTCCAGACACGGTCTGTGCCGAGCGTTTTCTCCTTCACTTTAGCTGCAGCAGCGGTCCTTGGCGTTTAGCGGGGGGGGGGGGGGGATGAGCAAGGCTCCTTTATCGGAACCCCCCGGCGACGATGGTGACGAATTACCGGACCAACTACTCGCCGTAGATGGTCCCGGTAGTCACCGCAGTGCACTACCCAGGCGAACGCTCCTTCGGTTCGGCCTGCTTCGTCCCTCCTTGACTTTTAACTGCGGTGGCGAAACTGGCTCTACTGGCTGAGCCACCGCAGTGAGGACGGTGGGTGTTCGGGATCCTTGATGGTTAGCCGGGAAGCGAAATAATCCTTTACGCTTAGCTTCCCTTGGCGGCGATCCGACACTCTTCACTAATGCAGCTCACGAACCACGGCACTTTTCGAGGAAACGACGTCACTTCCACGCGACGATGCTGGGAATTATCCCTAGAGCAGACAAACGCCACGAAAACGGCACTCCAACTCTCGTTTTTACTTAAAAGGACGGGGCAAAAAAAAAGATTTCCTACCGTGGCTCGTAACTTTTTCTCTTTTTCCGTACTAGCTGACAATCACCGACAATACAATAATCGCCATCGTTCTCCTGCAACCGCGCTCGAATGTTGTGCTGCTTATGTTTTCACCTTCTTTTGCAGCGGGAGGAGAAACGGGACCTAATTTTATACTAAACGCGAGGCAAAATCAATCGATAATTTTTGCACTACATTCTAATCCTAAAAACATGCCTACACGAATAAAATCTACTAAGAAAATAACAAATTAAAATATTTACAAATAAAGCAGTGGTGAGTATGTTGCCGAGCGTGCGACCAAAACAAAAACAATTCATAACAGACAAGGCACACGCTAGTGGCAAACACGTTAAAAGGGTGGGTTATTAATTGTCACCCTAGACGAGGGTTACACCAACAATCAATACGAAACTAACAATTTTAAATTGGCTCACTACTTGACTAGCCTATTGGTCCATAGAGGTAACTCTAAGACCACTGGGTCCCGAAGAAAATCATTATTATTTTTGGCTCACTCAGTACCAGAACAACGGTCCCAAGCAGTCCCAAGCTATTTCACTCACCACTGCATGTTCTGCATGAATCCACACACCCGTGATGTTATCTGTCAAACTTTCATATAGCGAATCAAAACAAACATAGTGTAGTAATAGAATTTCAACTAGAATAGAGTACGTTAATCGTTTGCTTGGGACCAATAGGCTACTAAAGTGGTGAGCCAATTTAAAATCGTTAGTTTCGTAGTGATTGTTGATTGGTCCCAAGCAAACGATTAACGTATCCCATTCTAGTCGAAATTCTAGTACTACACAATGTTTGTTTTGATTCGCTATGAAAGTTTGACAGATAAAATGAGGGGTTATTGGTTTTTCCTATGTTTCGAGCGGTGAATCGGTTAGCTTGGGACCGAAGAGAGTACCAGTGCTGAGCCAAAAAGTTGAGCACGGTATTTCGGGTCCTTCTCGTCTTAGAGTTACCTCTATGGTTACACTGTCACATTCCGAGTCACCCTTCCACTCTTCTTCAACTTTTGTTTGACAATTGCCCACTATTTCTCAATTGGGCGGAATTAAGGGCAGTTGGGTGGATTGATGTCCTTTTAGAAGAAATCTATCCCCGTTGTCCCCGATACCACTGTAGAACTTCTCCGCTGTAGTGGCAACTTGCCAAATCAGGCCAAAACTTTACAGGTCCATTGTGAGCCTTAATGTACGCAAAAATAGGTTTTTTTTCAGGCACTCCTGCTGGTACATTTTTAAATCCATAGTCTAGTTTGTCACGAAAACCTGGGTTTTTTATCCGCAGCTGTAAATACCTTGCCAGATCATAAGCTTTCTTGCAAATTTATCGGCAAAAACGAATCTTTACTTGCTAGGGACATCACCTCGACCAGTGGCTTTATAGAACTTTTGTCCGGGAAGCTGCCCATAATCCATTTCCGTTTCGTCGTCCCATGATGGATGGATCCTTCGTGCTTTGCAAGAACCTCATTGTACAACTTCCGGGCACGTTTGCTGGCCACTAGATTCTTGCTTCAGTGTCCTGTTTGGTTGCTTACTGGCCCGAAAAGATCGAAATCCTTTTCGCTGACGAATCTTTCTAATGGATGCTTTGCCTGGCATTGAATTTCTTGGCGATATCATAATCCGACAGCCCTGGGTGTGCCCTAACCGTTCTCAACATTCAACACTTCTCAACAACCGTTCTTCAAATGCAGCTGCAGATCCTTAGTTCCACTACCTGCCGATCGATAGTATGCTGCTCACGGAAACGTTTGAGAACACTGCAAACGATCGATTTAGCCAATTTCAACGACTTTGCGATTGTTGAACTATCCATCATAACTTCTTTTAAACAAAATTAATCGTGACGAACTTTTCAGCACTGAAAAATGAAACACTTAAAAACAAAATGCTGTCAAACATTCCACATTCGACCGGTAGGAGCACTGCAGTAAAATAAACATTGCGTCCAGATGTTAAATGACTCAAGCTTTAGTCCAGTCCAAGAGTCGAAATCGTATTTTTTTCAAAGAGAGGACGAGGTACAAATTCCCATTTTTTCCGGTTTTCCCGGTTCACTGGTTATTCTGAATTTTATACATCAAGCACTTGTTTTTAACCCCATTATATTTGTTTTGCCTTGAGCACATTTTGAGACCCAGCTCCGCAAGAAAATTATTCCGGATAATACGCTTAACCAAAAGTTTATTCGCGGGCGGATTCCTCCAGTGGGAAATCGTAAAAGCGCTTTCACCTCCAAAATTCTGTAAGCAATAACATTACAATACTAAAACTTCTCTGAGAAGCTAATTTTACGAGCTAACCAGGTTTACAATGAAGACCTAGAATACTCAATAAAGCCACTCTATGCTGTCAAGGCAATGCTTATCTACGTACAGTGGTGGCCTTTAAATTAGCACAATAGGCGGATTTCCATACAAACTAGCCAACTTTGACATGTTACAACTACGTTTTGTTTTGATCAATTGAGCTGAAATTTTGACACAGAACTACAAATATGCTGAATTTTGCGTGTACTTAATATCAAATTATTGGAAGCGCTTGTCGGAAATTGCCGGGCTGGTTGAAATGGCCAACTAAAATTTAATCGGGAAAAGACTGTCTTCACAGAATTTCAAATGTCTTCAAAATGAGGACATATCGACAGTGAGCATGCATAAGGGCGAATACGCGATGATCGATTCTCTTCATCGATTTTCTCTTTTCATTGCTACAGCTAAGCGAAACAATTTTCTAGAATTTGTTCAATCCAGAGTAGTAACAGGTTGTATTGGGTATCAAAAGCAACAGCAAACGCACCGAGAAACGTTAAATCTAGCGAGTTATTAACAAAAGAGAAAATCGACGAAAAGAATCGAACATCGCGTATAGGCCCTTATGCATGCGATATGTTCAAATCTGGCAACCCCAGGGAAGTCGCGAAAATTTCCTACACGAGATTTCCTAGACCGGACCAACTCCCCGCCTCCGGCTTGGTAATGCCGCGTCTGTACTGACTAGGATATCTGAGGCTCCACAACCCTAATTAGTGGACTTCCCATGAATCACGCGGACCTTTCCCACACTGCGTAGGCAATCATCCATACCGTGCATATTTTTCAAACCACCTAAACTTAAACCCTTCCCACAAACTGTGCACTTAGACATGTGTGAGTATGTGGACAACCCCTAATATATCGAAAACAAAACTGGTGAAACTCTCTGGAATCAAAAGCTTGTATAATCTTATCTCATCTAGGTTCAGACATTTGCGAGATGCTGCAGTTGTGCTGCAGGTGAATGCAGCAAGCATTCTTGATATTAGTATAAATTGTCATAGTTGATATTTTAACCAATCACCGACGGGCATCGATTGCCAATTGGCTTAGCCAATCCTTGATAAATCACCGACGGCAATCGATTGTCAGGAAGGCGACTGCACACCTGGAACTTATCAAACCCATCAACACATGGACGCGGACGGACGACTTTGATCCCGGCTGGATTGGAACCCAGACACATTGGGGGTGAGAAGGCAGTAACGCTTATAGTTGATAATTAAACAACACCATTAATAATTAAATAATGTCTCGAAAAAACGCTTGCCCGCCGTGCTTACGTTTGACTAAATAAATTACAATTAACAATAATATTATTGTAGGTAAATATATTAACAATTATTATTGAATTATTCCAATAGATAAACACATTTAAGTCTTCCAGTAACAAACAAAAGTATGAAAATTGTCGTCATCGCTGCTGCCTGTCTTCCTATTGAATTTCCAAATGCAAACATAACTACAACACCTACCGTTAAAATAGTTCCACCGGTTGTAAATAGTGCACAACTAACGGGATCGTTTGTAACAATGGATCAATGATCACACTAGAACACAAATCGCCCACGCAAATACGAATGAAAACCAACCCGACTCCGAGCCGCAACCGAAGCACTGAACAAAACAAAAACAGCTGTCCGGCCGCAATTTTGACGTTTTCCGTCGGCATGGTAGAAGAAGTGTTGCCACTCACTGTTAGCTTCTGCTTGCCTTGAAGTTGACAACTACTCACATCTCTTTTCAAAGCTGCCAACAAATTTTGTTCTTAATATGCGTCTGCATCAGCACCCACCAATGAAAAAAGTTTTGTGCTGATTTTTAAATAATGTTTCCACAGAAATACGTGCCATGTCTACTAATAAACTAAATCTAATAAAAAATCATTGTACCACATTCGGTTCCAGATTTTAGTTTATTATTCCCCTCTAGTTTTGCATCGTTTCAAGGGGACGAACCCGGAATTATATTCCCTTTCAGTTCATCCCTCTGAGAAACCCCTAAATAATTGTGTGTACAATAAAACACCGCACGACCGAACGGTTTACTTGTTGGCCTCCCACTTGGCCTGTTCTTCGTTTTCACGCTTGACCTCCTCCAGGTACGGTTCCAGATATTTGGTATCCTCCTCGTACTTGGTCCACTGTTCCTTGGGCAGGATGGTCTTGGTCAGTGACAGGTGCAACGCCCGGGTGATGCGGTAGTTGCGCTCATCCTTCAGCTTCTCCGGCAGACGGCGGATCGCTTCCTTCACTTCGTCATCCTCGTACAGGCAATCGTCACGGTGCAGACCTGGATTGGAAGCAGCAGGCATAATTGTGAGGTTAGCGCGGTGCTGGGTGTTTACTTCGAATCCGATTACGGAGGTCGCAACACTTACCGTACTGGTTGAATCCGGACAAATTGTAGGCCCACCGTCCGAGAGCGGCTGAAATTGGGAAATTGGGACGCTTTAAGTTTTGTGAAAATTGAAGCAAGCTCTAGAGGCGAGAAGGAGCAGCACAATAACATTATGTAATTTTTCGCGGATGGCAAAGTAGCACAAAGTATGTAGCTTTCTGTGGAAGCATTAGGCACAACTTCCAAAGGGGAATCGATGTAAAATCACTGAACTAATAATGCTTACACACAACTTGCGGCCCCTTCCTGGCAACGTAGGACATTTTTATCGTGGAAAATCTGGGTTTATTTCACGAGAGACTACGATACAACTTCTACACACTCGGGTGGAGGAAAGTTCTACAACGGGGTTTGTTCGTGAAATGACAATTCGCGAAGTGACGTTTCCTTTTCTTGAAGTTGTCGAATAATAGACGTTCGATTTGTGCTAGAGTGGTTACGATGTGGAAAACAACGGGGGAGTTGAGGTTGAGCGTTTCAGATTAACCTTTTATTTTTCACAAAGATGGCGCTGTTCCATTAGTACTTTTTATCGGACAAAATGGGCCGAAAGTTCTTACGGATTTTCCCGGACATCACGTACTTTGAAAATTCATAACTCATAAACCAAGAAAATAATCTCAGAAATCCATTTAAGATATAATTTGAAAAATGCTTCGCACGAAAATTGTCACGATGGAGGAAAATCAGGAAAAAACATTTTCTGAGTGATGAAAATGTTTCCATAAATTTTTTTTTCACGCTTAAAAAACCTGGGTACTGTGAACCTCGATGTGAACTGTCAAACGGGAGCCAAACGTTCAGCAGTAATAAATTCAGATACTGTTCTTGTCTATCGTCAAGCATTGTAATCTAAAGTTAAACAAGCTACAATTAAATGAAAGTATTGCGCATTTCACACCAACTGAACAAATGAGCGCGTTTTTGTAACTTCTACTCAGATGTGTATATAAATTTCTAAAACTGCAGGAACTCAGCGCTGAGACCTGCAGTTTTTAGAAATTTCGCATAATTTCTGGATGGTAATGTTAATTTGTGTGGGCGAGCCTTGACTTTCTAGAAATCATCGAGAGAAGTAATTGTTTACAAAAGCTGTTACCACAGACAAACAGACATAACACATTGAATAATTCTCACTGTAAAACATGGTCGCTAAAACATTACCGCCATCTGTTAAGCACACTGTGCTGGGTAGTACCAACAATCAATACGAAACTAACGATTTTAAATTGGCTCACCACTTTAGTAGCCTATTGGTCCCAAGCAAACGATTAACGTACCCTATTCTAGTTGAAATTCTATTACTACACTATGTTTGTTTTGATTCGCTATGAAAGTTTGACAGATAACATCAGGGGTGTGTGGATTCATGCAGAACATGCAGGGGTGAGTGAAATAGCTTGGGACTGCTTGGGACCGTTGTTCTGGTACTTAGTGAGCCAAAAATAATAATGATTTTCTTCGGGACCCAGTGGTCTTAGAGTTACCTCTATGGTAGTACGCTGAACAGATGGCGGTAGTGTGTAAACGTCATACGCAAGGGAATTGACTATGCGCGCCGCTGGTGGCGGTACTACCAACTACGATACTTTTATATTGTCCGTTAAATGCTTGTTTGATGAACAACTTGCGAGTGTTATGTCTGTTTGTCTGTGCTGTAACCGTAAACCGCCCTAATTCTGCGCAGTTAAGGAATATGAAAATTCAACTAAGTATTAAAAAAAAATATCATAGATGCTAGCGATAAACTGTTTTTACCCGAAAGTAGTGCTATTATAGTAGTATGTCAGGAAAATAAATCACAACCTAAATCTACGACCAAATTTTTTTTTAAAAAAGGAAAATTGTTTCCGATGTACTTGTGCCTAATTCCACGCATTTGACAAGTGAAAATCCTAATTCCGTGCAAAAATGACCCTAATTCCGCGCACGTTAAAAATAATTATAATTGAGAAATTTTTTGCGCTTTTGTGATTGCGACTTAGTCGTACATCCAGGGATATCCCACGCGTATAGGGACGATCCATAAATGACGTAGCATTTGAGGGGAAAGGGGAGGGGGCTTACACAAGTTGTGACTAACCATGTATAGAGTAAAGAAAAAATTGCTACAAGGAAGAATAAGATGTCTAAAATTAGCCAACCATATGCTATGTCATTTATGAATATTCCCTTAGTTCATTCTTCCATATGAAAAAAAAACACCTATCTTTATGAAAAACAACTCAATAATTCAGCATATTAAAGGTTTACTTTAAAAAAAATGTTTGGAACCTGGTTTGGAATTGATCTTTACAAAATTTTGCTCTTCATTTCTTCTGTTTTAGCAATCGATCGAATTTCTTCTTAAGCATTTCTCTTTCCTTCTGTTTTTTCTTGAGCATTTTCTGGTCCTTTTTTTTTTGGCGTTCCACTTCTTCCTGCAGCTTGTTTTTTTAATTCCATCCTCATAATCCTTATAGGCCTTGCTCGTGGCTACCGACGGCGGATGGCCTTTCTTCATCTTTCGGGCAGGAACCTTCAATGTTGGCTTCTTAAATGATTCACTGAAACTGCCATTAGTCTCTTTCTGTGAGTTAGCGATGCTTGGTGCAGATACATCAAGGGTGTTATCTTAATACAATTAAAACAAGTTACGTATTTTTGAACAGCTGGTGCACGCCTAAAACAAAACGGTATACCTTTCGATTTCTGATCGTCTAGGCGAAAACCCTCAAATGGGGGTTCGTTTTCAAGATCATCAAAATAACAATTCATGGATGATGACACAAAACTGGCTTCCATTCCTAATTTTGCTTTTTTCCATACAACGAATAAATTAGTGTCCTGGATCGGACCCGCCCAATCTCCCTATCGATATTTGCTTGGAAACGTTGTTGTTGTTCAGGTGTTAAGTATGTTTCCAATTCCTTCAAGAAATCATTGTTGATCGTGGATACGATGTGAAAGCTCCTTGTTCGTGGTGTTCAAGACTCGATGCCTCATTATTGTCTGTTACCAATGAATCGTAGTTGACTGCGTCTACATCAAAAGGGTACAATCCGGATCGCCGAAAGCCATTCACCAAGGTTGATGTTAAATGAACCATCTTTCCAATGGCTTTTTGAAGCAGAGGTGCGATTTCACTTCTTGGAAGTATTTCACCTCCGTGATCGATTCTCCATTCCAAAAAATTAAACGTCGAGTGGCTGCGTAATTTGCGTGGTAGATATATCAGTATTATATTTGCTTTCAGACACAGCTCCAGATAGTGCGGGGGGACACGTGGCTTTTGTGGCCGTCTACAAATACTACAACCGGTAAAGCAATCTTCTCTGTCAGCAGCCATGGATGGAACACGTCACGAAGGTACAAATAAAACGTGTCCCTATTCATCCATCCCGTTTCCGTTCTCCCAGCTGCCCAATTCGGTAGTAATTTTTTCAAAAATTTCTCCGGGAATCCGTTGCTTGTATGGAAATAGCATTAAGCATTAGAGTTGGCGCTAATGTTCCGGAGCCGATCGCGGCAAATAAAGCAGTATAGGACTCTTTATCGGAATTGCCAACACGAACATGAAGATGACGGGTTCCTGTGCCAACTAATTCTTTAGTCGGTATTGTGCGCACTGCGGTTTCGTCCATGTTAAATATTCTCGATGGATCCTTCAAAATATATCCGTGGCCCTCCGCTTGGATGTATCCTTTAATTTCCGTAAACCAGTGCCTGATCTGGCATTCGGATACAGCAGCTCGGTGCTTCGGAAGCACACTTGGGACACGTCGAGCTATGTTTGGGTGACGTTTCAAAAAAAGCTTCATCCATTTTCCTCCCGGAATGCCTCCTTTAAACTTTGTCTTCCTTCCTTGAACGTAATGTGCCAAACATGCGGTCAATTTCTGGGTATTGACAGGGAATCCCACTTTGGCCATTTCCAAAATCCAAGAAACGATGCGGTTTTCTTCATCGTATGATAAAACGGTAGGCGCTCCAGGTTTCTCTTGTTGGGAGGTTGTTTTCAATTTATCCCGCAGCGTACTCTCCGGGATTCCACTGGAACGAGATACCTGACGGATCCGGTTACCCTTCCGGATTGATGCCAGAAAAAAAAAGAAGGTGACACGGCAACAGACCTTGGGGCACGCGAAGAAGATGACAGGCTACCGGCCCCTGATCTTCAAGAAGTTGAGGAGGAGATCGGTCGGTTGAAGAACAACAAAGCAACTGGTGTAGATCAACTACCAAGTGAGCTATTAGAATACGGTGGGGAAGCACTGGCTAGAGCGCTGCACTGGGTAATTGCCAAGATTTGGAAGGAGGAGATTTTACCGGAGGAGTGGATGGAAGGTGTCGTATGCCCAATCTACAAATAAGGCGACAAGTTGGATTGCTGCAACTACCGCACGATCACACTGCTGAGCGCCGCCTACAAGTTACTCTCCCAAATTCTATGCCGCCACCTGTCACCATTTGCAAGAGAGTTCGTGGGGCAATACCAGGCAGGATTCATGGGTGCCCGCGCAACCACGGACCAAATTTTCGCGATTCGGCAGGTTCTGCAGAAATGCCGCGAATACAACGTGCCCACACATCATTTGTTCATCGATTTCAAATCCACATACGACACAATCGATCGAGATCAGATATGGCAGATGGCGATTGGTCAAGGCGACGATGGATCGAGTGATGTGCGTTGTTCGAGTATCGGGGGTTACGGCAAGGTGATGGACTTTCGTGTCTGCTATTCAACATCGCGTTAGAAGACAATAGTGGCACGGAACTTTGAGACGATGGCGGAAACGTACATCAGACGAAGGCTGAAGCTAGGCGGATTGTACTTGCCATCAACGCATCAAATACAACATACATGAAAGGAAGAGGTTCTAGGGAAGACAATGTTACCCTCCCACCCCGAATTTAGATTCATGGTGACGAAATCGAGGTGGTCGATGAGTTCGTGTATTTGGGCTCACTGGTGACCGCCAAAAATAATACCAGCAGAGAAATTCAAAGACGCATTATGGCAGGGAATCCTGCCTACTTTGGACTCCGGAGGACGCTCCGGTCGAATACAACTCGCCGCTGCACGAAGTTGACTGTCTACAAGACGCTGATTAGACCGGTGGTCCTCTACGGCCACGAGACCTGGACTATGCTCGTGGAGGTGTTTTTGAACGGAAGGTGTTGCGTACCATCTACGGTGGAGTGCAGATGGATGACGGAACGTAGAGGAGGCGAATGAACCACGAATTGCACCAGCTGCTGCGTGAACCATCCATCGTCCACATTGCAAAAATTGGGCCACTACGGTGGGCTGGGCACGTCGTAAGAATGCCGCACGACGACCCAGTGAAAATGGTTCTAATTTTCGCTAGTGGATTATTCTAATTTTCAACTGTAAAAGTAGCGACAGTATTATAACATCGACTCTGAGCCTAATGACCCATCACGCTCTGTGCAATGTTCCAAGTTTCGATCAATCACGGTCTACTAACTACGAATTTTATGGGCATCGTTTACTTTTATCTTACCTTAAGTCGATCTACTCGAACAGCCCATTGCTATATGCAGGCGTTTCCATTGTCATCATCATCATCACTAAATTATTGTATGACCCCAGTAAATATCTAGATAGAGCTGGAATTAGGGAATAACAGCTTTTGTAAACAATGACGTCTTCTCTCGATGATTTCTAGAAAGTAAAGGCTCGTCCACTCAATTCAACGTCACCATCGGGTAGGGGAAGACTTCTGTTACGCCCTAATTCCAGCTCTATCAAGATATACAGTTTCAAAACATAACCTCACTTTCCAAGAAATTTCTCTATACACTTCTTCACATATAAAACATTGTCTAAAGGTTTTTATAACATTTTCCATATTATTGTTGCTCTAATACATTAATCGTACAAGGTACTAGTATTGTCAAACCTAAGCCTAACTGTTGTTAATCATGTCTACAGAATAATAGTATATAGTGATGTTATTGGATTACATATCTTTTAATAATTTGTGCACAGTCCGCCTTCGATCGATAAACGATAAAGTCAAGAACAGAAATTGTGTGAGTTGTAGCCAGGCCAATTTCTTAGTACTCAGATTCAGCTTCAGCAAATTATTTATCGGTGGTGCTGGAGGGACATACCAGTAGTGCAAAAAGCAAAACTCTCCCATCGCAACAGACCACATATTCAAGATCTCTTGTTACTTTGAATGTTAATAAAAACGAATCAACTCAAAAACTAAAATGTGTGTGTTAGTGAAAGAATAAACGAAAAAAAAAAATATTCTAAGTAAGCGTTCGTCAAAGAAACCCATCCTAAAAATAAATGATATGGTTTGTATTCTTGATCAAGTTTCTGCTTAGTTTTCCACGCGGAGAAAGGAAAAGAAAGTAACGTTCTTGGCAGCTTACGCTAACGGCTAACGGTGTCCTAAATATAAGAATTTTAGCAGTCTAAACTAAACACGAATGAAATACACATCCCAATTTGTAACTAAATCAAAAAAATCGCTAAGAACAAAGTAAATATAATTACGCTCTAATAATAAAGAAGCCTATGTTTACTATATGAAAGGATTGAAAAGGTGATGATTCCCAACTTCCTTCAATCAAGATTTCTAAATTTGTCAGTGGAAATTTTGATCATTTTGTTTTTCTGTTAAGATAATAAAATTAACCAATGTCACATAACTGCATAACTGTTATAAACAGTAATACATTTACGCGATTACCATGTTTAACCAGTGCTACATAAATCTGTGGTACAATTATCACAATTATATGAATTTTTGTTTGGTCCTAATAAAAAAAATCCTCTCTAGAGTAGAATTTCGGGGAGCTTCCGATGCGGTTGTACACAAGCTCGTTTCAAATTTATTTTAAATAATTTGTTGTCGTCAGTCTTTTTCTTTTTCTTCCCAATTTTCACCTCATTAGAATGCGAATCGCATCCGAAATTTTAAAATGATTAGCACTTCATTTTGCCGTCGATTTGTTTCGACAGTTGTTTTTATACTACACGCGGTCGCCCGAACAATGGGGTGGCGTGGGGAATCGAGGTGATAAAGAAAAATGTGGCACAAAAAAACAAAACCGATAAAGAGAATGGTTTCGCAAAAAGTGTCGCCCTGTGTTGTTTGTGTTGTTACGCTCGCGCCCCTTGATAGTTTTTTTTTCCATTCCGCAAATCTACATTTTAAATGACCAACACACTTTAACCCTTCGAAGGCCATTTCTCGAATGGTTGTAAAAATACACGACCGACCCCGGCCAGCCGGCTCTGTTGTGGAATTTGATGAATCATTGCACTTGCCGTTTTTTAGAACTTTTTTTTTTGTTAGAGTTGTGTCACATAGGCTTTCATTCGTCACGACTGTTACCGGGACCGGCACTACCGGTATTTCAAAAACCCATAGCATGCTTCAGGTTCTCGGTGCTGGCACCCTTCATAGCGTCCAAAATGCCATGGAAGCAGTCCTCCATGTACGGTTTGCCCACCAGATTCGATACCACCGGAATCGGTTCCTGCCCTGGGACGAGCAGGCTGATTTCCTGGATTATACCCTGGAAAAAAACAAACAAAGCAACCATTAATATAGAATATAGGTACCAATCAAAATAGCATCCGACCAACGCACCTTCTCAACATCGACCTTGACCTTCATCTCATGCTGTTGTTGGTCCGCGCCCTCCGATTTCAGCTGGATGCTCTTCTGGACGGAGAATTTCGGCGTCTTGCCAATGCGCCAGTCCCAGGAGGAAAAGTTCTCACGCAGCTCGCTGATACCGGGGAACCACTTCTCGGTGGGATTGATCAGTTGGAAACCGAGCTGTTTCATCAGCAGGTCACGACCACCATCCGTCAGTTGCGTGGCCGGCGTGCGCAGAAATTCGTATCTGTGCGGTAGGGACAAGAAAGACGTTGAAAATTAAGGCCACATTTCTTATAGGTGGGTAATTTGATAAGATTTCGTTTTTTTTTCTTTTCTTCCACAGCTTTGTACTCACCCAATGGCCGATAAGAGCTGCTGGATGTTGACGGTGCGGTTCACGTCGGTCAAATTTTTGATTGGCGATGGCACTGAAGCGGTGGCCTTGCTGATGACTTCGGCCTGGAAATAAGCAGCCAAGAGAAAAGGCGGGAATTAGTCACTTCTTTGAATAGTAGAATGGGCTCGAATAGAGAATTGGACTTCCGTGTGAACGACGATAATATATGGATGTAGTAAAGACATTTCGTTTTTGAAAGTTTATTTATTAATTTTGACGTAGAATTAAGTCTTTCGGCAACATATTGGCAAGGCAATTAAAAAAAACAAAATCGACCGCGTTACGAAAAGTGGTCAGGTTTTCACCACTTATTCTGTCAATAGCGGATGGATTTTAATTCTAAACAAACCAATCGATTGGTAATTTTTCTACTAAATGAATACTTTATCAATTTCTAATGGGTCAATTTTTTTTTTTTTTTTTTTTAATTCTTTATTTAAGAGATTTTCTCTAATAGGTCAATGTCCAACTGTTGCAATGGTGATTAAAATTATCTCCGATTGCCTGCAAATAGTGGTTCCCCTAGCATAGTCGCCAAATATTGATACCGATCCTACGTTATCCTACGTCAAATCTACGGTGGAGTCTTGGATACAACCTCTTAATTTTTTTGGGAGTTCAATGCTTTTCTAACTCGCAGGGCTCCATGGAGATGTGCATGTTAAGAAGTTCCAAAGGATTAGGGCGGTACTTTCGGTTGCAGAACGATAATCGGCACCTGCTTCATATCTCCGGCTCCAAGAAGGGAATTCCAGTACTGCTAATTTTAATCTCAAATTTCAATGTTAATTGTATTAAAGGGTGATACGGTCAAAATTTGGTCAATATCAACTTGACGTATTTCTTTCAATTTTGCATTTAAAAAACCTGAACACCCCTCATTTTGAAGGTGTGTGTGTGTGTAGAATGTTGCTCCTATTTTGATTTTGGAATTCACTCTTCAGTTGTCAAAATGCCGTCCAAGCAAGAAGAGCAGCGTATCAAAATTTTGCTCGCGCATCGCGAAAATCCGAGCTACTCGCACGCAAAGTTGGCAAAATCGCTAAAAGTTGCCAAATCAACCGTTACAAATGTAATTAAAGTGTTTAGGGAACGTTTGTCGACAGCCAGGAAGTCTGGATCGGGGGGAAATCGAAAACCGGAAGCCGCTGAGACGACAAAGAGAGTTGCCGGTAGTTTCAAGCGAAACCCTAACCTCTCTCTCCGAGATGCCGCAAATAAGCTGGGTGTATCGTCTACAACCGTGCATCGAGCCAAAAAACGAGCCGGACTATCGACTTACAAGAAGGTAGTGACTCCAAATCGCGATGATAAACAAAATACGACGGCCAAAGCGCGATCCCGGAGGCTGTACACGACGATGCTGACGAAGTTTGACTGCGTGGTAATGGACGACGAAACCTACGTCAAAGCCGACTACAAGCAGCTTCCGGGACAGGAGTTTTATACGGCAAAAGGAAGGGGAAAGGTAGCAGATGTTTTCAAGCACATGAAACTGTCGAAGTTCGCAAAGAAATATCTGGTTTGGCAAGCCATCTGTACCTGTGGCTTGAAAAGCAGCATTTTCATAGCTTCCGGGACTGTCAACCAAGAAATTTACGTGAAAGAGTGTTTGAATAAACGTCTGCTGCCTTTCCTGAAGAAACACGGTTGTTCCGTACTGTTTTGGCCGGATTTGGCATCTTGCCATTACGGTAAAAAGGCCATGGAGTGGTACGCCGCCAACAACGTGCAGGTGGTTCCCAAGGACAAGAACCCTCCCAACACGCCAGAGCTCCGCCCAATTGAGAAATACTGGGCTATTGTCAAGCGGAACCTAAAGAAGACCAAAAAAACTGCTAAGGGCGAGCAGCAGTTCAAGGCAAACTGGCTTTCTGCGGCGAAGAAGGTGGCTGTACAAAATCTGATGGCAGGGGTCAAGCGTAAGGCCCGGCAATTCGGATTTGGAAAAGCGGAAGCCTAACTGAATATTTTTCCTGAATTTTATACTAATTGAACTTGAAAAAGAAATTTAATTTGATTTTTTAAATAAACGATTTCACCGATTTACACGCGTTTTCCCTTGACCAAATTTTGACCGTATCACCCTTTATCAGCTAGGTCATTTAGTACTATACCCGTTTGATTAGTACTAAATTGAACAAAATTTCCTCTCCATTAGATTTTAAAAATAATACCAAATTGAGGATCAAATAAGGAGATAAGGACAGAAGGCTGAATCACCAAAGGCCGAAAATGTATGAACCTATCACAACAGGCCGAAACACAAAAGCCGAAAATGTATGAATCTTCGATAATTGATCACTCCGCTTCGACTCGTCGTTGATCAATCGTGACTTCATCAGCTCGTATGTCATATCCTGCTTCGCAAGATTCTCTAGCGCCGTCACTCGATTCAGCCATTTGAAGTTGACGAATAAAGTCTGTAGCGGTATTCTGATTAGATATTAAATTAATGTAGCATGAAGTTCAAATGCTACAAATGTTCACTGTTACTATTCGAAACGACACGACCTATCCCAATTCACTTGTATGCAACTGGTGAACTCATATCAAGATTAAATTATCCCTGCATGAAATTTCACTCATTATTTTGTTCATCCGCTCACTAGGCGCGTAAGTTTTCTCATTTGAGGTGGCATGAAATTTGATCCGTGGGATTGAGTATAATCTCCCAGTAGGATTACTTGTCGTCGGAAATTTAATAATAAGAAAAATACTTTAAGTTAAAAATTGGAATGAGCTAGACAGATGTGGGATACTTGGGAGGAAAAGAGGTAGTATCTCTGATCGAATCGGAAGGTAATCGGAGATCGCCTTGATCGTTTTTTCGGTTTCCGGAACGAAGGCCAAGAATTGTTAGCGGCCTTTCTGAGGAATCCCAAGTTCTTTCTCGTCCACTTTAATCCAACCCGTGGAAGAGGCAGGACTGTGAAGTTTTTTTTTAATAGTTTCGCGGTGTGTTTGTAGAGGTATATTTAAATGTGAGAAGTGTCTTAAAGTTCAGTGTAATTAATTGTTCGTTAATTCCTTTTGATTAGGTGTAGTTACTACTGAATAAGTTTAGTAGGCTACTGCGATACTGTGCGCGATTTAAGTTTCAACAAAAAGGTAAATGATTTGCTATGCGGTTTTTCAACAATGCGCTCATCCAGTTGTACAGCCGTTTGACGGCTTTTTGTTTCTAGTTTCGTCCCACCTCCCGCTCGGCATACCGCGCCCCCTCGATATTACCACTACCCTGACCCCACGCGTCGGTATTAAAGGACCTAACTTCGGCCGGAGTTAGAAGGGAGCTGCACCGTCTATATCGCGCTCCAGGTGAGCACTTTTCCCAACCACCGGGATATCCCCACGCAACGCAGTTGGTGAAGAGCAGTCGGTAAAGCAGAAGCGTGAGTAGAACTGTACAATGTCCGCATGCATGCATTAAATCTAGATGAAGCGCCAGTTATAAATAGCCATTTAGAAATCCACACAGTTAGGTAGGGAATTAGAGAGAGAGTAAAGAGAAGAACGATGGTTCCCGGATAAAAATGTTTAGGTAATAAAATGTTCGTTCTATTAGTTTTTCTAAATAAATGCTTTTTAATTCTGCTAAATAATTGTGTTGATTGTTAGGTTAGAATTTCCCGTTCAATGAGTGCACTGGTCTGAAGAAGTTTCTCACGTTTCGTTCGTTCTTGTAGTTTTCGTTGTTTGGTTTTACTCCAAGTCGGACTGCTTGGGAATCTCAGTCCACCGTTTCTGTCCTGAAGCGTGTAGATTTTGTGTTTGGGGAAGAGCTTGACCTGTGCTGAGAACAGGTCGTCCAGTGCATTCGCTCCGGTAGTTTTAGTTAGTGGTTAGTTTTCATTCGGTTGGATTTAGTGTTTTCTTTTGAATCTAAAGTACTTTATGTCTACTAGCGCGTTCCAATCCTTTGCATTAGACTGAACTCGCCTGGGGTTTTGAGTTTGCCGGGCATCCGAAACGACAAGTGGTCCTCTATGGAGGTGGCGCTTAAGCCATTTGTTTAAAAACCAATCTACGGAACGCTCTAGTAGACCGATTTCGGCTAGCCAACTTTATGACGGCTACAAGTCTTCGAACTCTAGGAGATGAGCGCGCATCGAAACTCCTTCCTTCAGGTGTAGTCTAGCAATCTGCTTCATTGCTGTTTTTTTTGCAAACGTCGAGGGTCTTCCACATAGCCTTCACTGTAGTTTTGCCACGAATACAGCTAAGGTATTCATCGGCTATAAAACGGTCCATGCCTTGATCTCTTCCTTGATGACCGCATCACAGACGTTGCACGCGAAACTGCCAGGTGCAAGGGATAGGTCACTCCACACACCAATATTGGGTCAACATTTGTCTCAGTGTGCCGCAGGTGTGCCGATTGTGTCCACAGGACTGCAACGCCTGTCATCTGCGAACAACTCGAGTGAAGCCAAATTTCTCTGGTGTTCTGGTGCTAATTTGACAGCCCCTCCTTTTCCTCTATGATTAAGCTTGGTACACACAGATAAAAATTCTGAATTTTAACTGTGATGTAAACATTCATTCACGTAGACTTGTATTTCATTTCACGCAACCGAGGAACTTGCAAACAATGTTATTTACAAAGATGGGTTTTTGTATACAATATTTGTGCCAGAACTTTACATGATATATAATGTAAACGTATATGATATGTGATGCTCCATTTATGTGCATCATATTGAACAGAAATTTACACTACTTTTTCGAACTGTGCATGTCGCGCAGCGTTGCGGAAAATAGATAGAGTTTTCTAGATAACATTATAGGAAAGCTGATTCACGCAAATTGTGCTCCTCAATTCGCAAACATCTAAATCATTTTTTGATTGTCCATTGCGGAAAAGTAATAATGGTTTTGAAGGCATTACATTTGTTGCCACTGTGCCGCATTTAATGTTACATGGTATAGCTTAAATATGTTATGGATCACCAGTGTTACTGATGTTTTCGGCAGTTTCAAGAACTGGATCGCATTGCAGGGGGTTGATTGTGCCGATTGTGCGATTTTTTTTTGTAAAATACGAATATTATGGTATATT